CTCAAGGTGGATTTTAGGAGTGGTAGATGGATGAGGATGGAAATCCTGCGTGTTTAATATGCTGGGCAGCTATCCTAAAGTTTGGAGCTTCAAGTCCACCTATGGGTGTCTTAGAAGAATGGCCTGGTGATCTAATTCTGAAAAATCAGCCATTGAAACTGCTATGGAGCACAGTTTTTCTGGTAGCATAGTGGCTAAAGGCACTTGACTGCTAACCAGAAGGCTGGTGGTTCAAACCCACCAGCCACTCCTCGGAAGGAAGATGGGGCAATCTACTTCCGTAGTGATACTGCCTTGGAAACCCAAGGAGGGGTCGCTGAGTCGGGTCTGACTTGACGGCACACAACAACAACAACAACAATGGAGCACAGTTCTACTCTGATTTACATGGGGTTGTATGGAGTCATCATGAATCAGAATCTACTTGATGGCAACTGGTTTACATGGATGAAGGTGGGGTGAGGAGAGTCCTGGATTCATTGCCCCATCTGCCCAGATCCCTAGGGGGTATGTTGTTCTGGCCAGGCCAGCAGTTTAAGGCACTTTCCCCAGAGGCCCTCAGGGGCTGCAGAGCTGGAATGTCTGTGTTAGTGCCAGGATTTGAAATAGTTCCCACTCTGCAGGCTTGGAAGACTGTCTTTTCTGGGACTCAGGGAGGGTGGAGAAACAGGATGGGGATAGGGGTCCCCTGCTCATTTTTCTCCCTGTCACTCTGTGGATCATAGACACCTGGCTGTCTCCAAATTCAGAGAAGAAGGGAGACAAGCTGAACCCAGAAACTTGGGGTGGGGGTGGTGAGAAAATGCTGGCAGACAGAGGGAGAGGTGTGAATAGGAAGAGGTCAGCCAGGGGAACATAGAGAGCCTAAGCTAAGAATGAAATCCAACAGTAGAACAGCCTTTGTCCTTCAGATCTCCCTGGGTCAGAATGAATGAGCCACACGCCCCAGGTTCTTGTGGCAGGCAGCATGGTGCAATTGAAAAAGCTCTGGGTTTGAGGATTTTTGACCCACACTGGACTGTAAATGACTTATTCCACCCTCAGTTTCCTCTTGCATATTATCAGCACAGTCTTTGGATGCAGGTAGACTTAACCCCTAAGACCTGCATGACTTTGCACATATTTTTTAACCTTTGCGTTTCAGTTGTCTCATACATAAAACAGGGACAAAAACACCTAAGAGTTTTTGTGAGGATTTTTGTGAGGATTACCTCCTATAGGCCAGAGTAAAATGATGCCACAGGATTCCCAACGTTGTAAACCTTTACTGAAACAGACTGCTACATCTTTTTTCCACAGAGTGGCCATTGGATTTGAACTGCCAACCTTTAGGTTAGCAGCCAAGTGCTTATCCACTGTGCCACCAGAGCTCCTTTTGTGAGGACTAAATATAATAGATGTGAAGTAGATTCTATTAGCAACTTAGGATCATAGACTAACGATGTGTTTGGGGATAGGTGACATTGAGTTTGAGTTGACTGCCCCCAGACAGCTGTGAAACCTGTCTGAGCCCCAATTTCTCGTCTGTAAGGGTAACAATACCTTCTTCGCGGGGTCCTTGTGGAGCTCTGATAAGGTGTATGAAAGCACATTGTACAGCTCTGTACAAATGTGAAGGACTATTTTTGTTCTTTAGCTCACCCTCTAACAAAGGCTGAATAAGTACTGAATAGGCCAAAAAAGGGAGGGTGAGGGAAGGAATGAGAATCTTAAGGGGAGTAGCAAGAAAGCTTGCATAATCCCCACACTGTTTTTAACTCTGGTCATTAAGCCTGTGCTCCAAGGAGCAGCTCACATCCACAGGAGGGAGGTGAGGAATTGGAGGCAGGAGGAGGGTGGGGGAACTGTGAGGAGAGGGAAAAGGAGCCCGCTGCTGTCAAACCCTAGGACGGCACGGAAGGTCCTTGTCTGCTGAGGAGAAAAAGGAGTCTCTTAAGTCCCAGCCCTGCTCTGTGTCTCCCTCCGTGACCCCAACTCCCTCGTGATCCAGAAAGCATAGCTCCCAGCCTTAGAGCCAAGAAATGCTGCCTTTCAGTGTCTCTCACCTGGCAGCTACTGAGCAGATTCAAATATGCTCAAGGTCAGATTCTAGAGGATAAAGACAGGAGTTCTGGCATTCCCTACAGGACAGCTTGCCCCTCCCCAACTCTCATTAACCAGGCCAGAGTCCCTCAAACCAGTCTCCCCCTCCTCCTTCCTCTCACCCTTTGATTAGTCTGAACCAGGACGCGGATGCCTGGGCCAGAGCCCTGCTGGTCCTAGGCTCCACTGAGAGGCTGCGTTATGGAGTTCCTTTCCCTTGGGAGCTCAGCCCATAGGAAGTGCCAGGGAAATGTTTCCACAGATTAGTGCCTCCTGGTGTCAGACAGCAGCAGCAGGTGACAGGAACAGGGCAGGCACAGGACCAAAGCACAGGGAGCCCTTGGGAGCAGCCCAAGGACAGAGGCTTTCCACTCCAGTTTCCAGCTTTCAGAAACGGGCACTTAGGATTCCCCAAAGACCCTTTGCCTCAGTTTCACCCCTTACTGTCCAGTTGCTGCAGAGATAATTTTACTTGACCAATTATTGTGGCAATTATGGTAACACAGTAATTTGATTAATTCCTGTTCCAGAGGTTGAATACAGGCAATCCCAGGGTTACAAATGAGATCTATCCCTAAGGGTGTCTTTAAGTTGAATTTGTAGGTAAGTGAGAAAAGGTGCAGACAGTTCTTATTTTGCCTTACTTTTCCTACTGTCATTGAGTCAGTTCTGACTCACAGTGAACCCCACTGGGTTTCCAAGGCTGTAATTTTTTTTTATTGTGATTTGGGTGAAAGTTTACACACCAAATTCATTCCCCATATAGCAGTTCATCCACATTTTGTTTCATCACATTGACTGCAATTCCCTGCAACGTAACAACTCTCTTCCCACTTCCTCCAGCTCTCTTCCCACTTCCTCCCTGTAGTTACCTCTTCCCTGTGCCCTTCTTGCCTATGATTCCTGCCTCCTGAGCTATCTCCTTGTGCAAATACTGCCTTTCTGTTCTCCCCAGTTGATTGTTCTATGGAGTGTATCTGTCCGATATTAATGTTCACCCTATAAGCCTGTCTACTGTTAGGCTGGAAACTACGGGAGTAAGTTCAATTCCAGACCTGAAGGGTAACTAGAGGACATAGTCTCAGGGGTCTCACCAGGCTCTATCAGACCAGTAAACCTGTTTTTTTTTTATTTTGAGTTTTGTTCCAAATTGTTCTCCCACTCTAGCCAGGATCTCCTGCACATATCCCTTTCCTAGTTGTTGACAGCGGTAACCAGGCACCATCTAGTTCTTCTGGTCTCATGGTCATATAGGCTGAGGATCATATGGTCTGCTAGCTCCTTGGGCTAATTGTTTCCATGCACCTTTGTTTTTTTTCATTCTTCTTTGCTCTGGATAAGGGAAGACCTATTGTTGCATCTAGATGGTTGCTTGCAAGCTTCTAAGACCCCAGTCATACTCACTAAAGTAGGATGTAGAGCAATGTTTTTGTGTAGTATGTTATGCCAATTGGGCTTGATGTCCCCTGTGACCATGGTCCTGAGCTCACAGGTCCAACTGCTTGCTCCCTCAGGGTGGTTGGCTGTGGCTAAGAAATTAACTTAACTTTGCCCTTTGTTAGCTCTATTATATACATGGACATTCTTACAGCACATATAAATAAATAATATAGGAATACTGTCTGTCAATCTTATATCCAGTCATGGGCATATTTCCTTTTGCCTAGACAAGGCTATAAATCTTTATGGAAGTAGATTGCCTCATCTCCCTTCATGGAGCAGCTGGTGGGTTTGAACCTCCAATCATCTGGTTAGCAGCCAAATGCTTTACCCACTATGCCACCTGAGCGCCTATGCTTACATTAGTGCAAGAAAAAGGAGCTCTGGTGATGTAGAGGTTAAGGCATCTGGCTGCTAATCAAAGGGCTGGTGGTTTGAACCCACCAGCCACTCCATGGAAGAAAGATGAGGCAGTCTGTTTCCGTAAAGATTTACTGCCTTGGAAACCCAATTGCATCAGAATCGACTTGATGGCAGTGATTTTTTTTTTGTTGTTGTTAGTGCAAGGAAAGGCTCAAAGACTTTTCAATAATTAAAAGCTGCACATATAGAAAGTGAAGATGACTGTGATGCAGAATTTGTTGCAAGTAGGGATTGGTTCAATAGTTTTAAAGTGAGGCCAAATTTACGTAATGTTAAAGGGCAAGCACAAGTTGTCTGTAAGTCAGATGTTCTGACTCAAGGAATAACCCAGGGACTGCCTATAAATTGGAGGGTGAGAAGACGGATGTAGGGGCAGGAGAGGAGTGATGCAGAGAGAGCTAAAGGATCCCCCAGAAAACAAACAACAAAAACCCCAAACCAAACCCATTGTCATTAAGTCAATTCTGACTCATGGTGATCCCATGAGTTACAAAGTAGAACTGCTCCATAGGGTTTTATTGGCTGTAATTTTTATGGAAGCTGATCACCAGGCCTTTCTTACATGGCACCACTGGGTGGGTTTGAACTGCCAACCTTTAGGTTAGTAACTGTGCTACCCAGGGACCTTAAAGGACAGGAGGAAAAAAGTGGAAAGGAGATTATAGCATAGAGAAATATATGAGCCCTGAAGGAGGCAGCTCAGGAAGAGTATCTTAAATTAAACGCTTTCACCAGGTAAAATGGGTCAAGATTTTTCAAATCTGCACTTGCTAAATCAGGCCTAGAGGGCAGGACAGCTATATAACCAGCCTTAAAAAGACAAGCCACACAGTCTAAGACAGGAGAGATAGCACAAGCTAGGCAGTTGAAGGATGGCTAGCCCTTACCCCCTGGCCACCTGGCCGTGTTACTGGGTGAGTCTAGGAATGAGCAAGGCAGGTGGGCAACTCATTACAACGTGGTTTTGGCCAGGAGTTTAATCAAGATTAGTTTTTCCCTTGGGCTAGTTAGTCCTGGGCCACGCTGGGCACTCTAACCCAGTTGATGCCCTAATCTCATAGTTCGTGCATATGAAGAACAGGCACTTGGATTGTATCTGCATGCTGGATCAACTCAAAGATGAATTTCACTTGTGTCTCGTAGGCTTGGACTGAGATTTTCTCGTTGATTCCATGGATGCTAAGGGAAAATGAGAGATGATGCATTTCAGCGGGGAAAGAAGAAAGACATTTGCTATAGTACAAGTGTCATTAAAGAGCACTCCCCTCTTTACCTCCTCACCCTCTTCCTCCTCATCTCCAAAGGCCAAAGGGTGCTGATGCTTCAAGGGTAGGAAGAGGATAGGTGGAAGAGGCCATTTGTATGATATGTTGGTCATCCTTCTGGGACCCATGCACATGGCAAAGAACAGTGAGGATAATGAATAAAGTCCAGAGGAATTCAAAATCATCTCCTGTGCTGGATCCATTTAATAATTTCTCTCTGGGAGATCTATATTCCACATTCTCTTTCTCTGAGGCCAGTGTCCCTTCTAGATTTATCTCTCAGCCAACTTGCCATCCTCAATTTAAGGGATATGAGAGGGTAGGGAGGGCAACTACCCACAGTACCTATCTGAGTCTCTGCTTCACTTAGGAACTTTACTATTAGATTTCATGCTCACCAACTGGCCTCCCCACAACACAACAAAGCAAAATAAACAACAACCAGATCACACATGTATGTAATCTCAAAGACAAAAGGAAATTAAGAGTAGCTACCTGCCCTCCTTTAAAAAGAAAGCAAAACAAAAGCTGTTCTTAAGCTCCTATTCAAATATCCATACTCGTGGCAACTGATTTATGGTGAGGAAAACAGGTCTGGATGTGATAAAAAGTAGAGAGGGAATTAGAAATCACTTCCCAACATGGGATTAAAAATTAGCTGGAAAAAAATGAACAAAACAGTTGATGTGTAGTTGATTCCGACTCACGATGATGACCACACGTGTGCCAGAGTAGAGCTGTTGTCTGTAGAGTTTTCAATGGCCAGTTTTTCAGAAGTAGATTGCCAGGCCTTTCTTCTGAGGCACCTCTGGGTAGATTCAAACTTCTAACCCTTTGGCTAGCAGCCAAGTAAGTTAACTATTTGTAAACAAACAAACAAAACCCAAGCCCCAAACCCACTGCTGTCATGTTGATTCTGACTCATAGTGACCATACAGGGAAGAGTAGAACTGCTCCATAGGGTTTCCAAGGCTGTAATCATTACAGGAGCAAACTGCACATCTTTCTATCACAGAGCAGCTGGTGGGTTTGAACCTTTGACCAAATGCTTTAACCACTATGCCACCAGAGCTCCTTCAGGAACTCTAAAGAACCCACAAATTAGTAATTCACACACAGCAGTTATGCCTTGGATTTCCATAGTGTGTTTTCTTCTGAGATTTTAAAGCATGTGCTCACCTTTAACCTCACAGGCACTGAGAGGTACCTGAGATCTCTGAGGAGTTTCCCCATTGTGTGGATGGGGAAAATGAAGTCCAGGGGGTTAGTGCCCTCACAAAGGAAGGAAGAACTAGGACCAGCACCCAAAGCTCACAATTCTACCAGGTTCTTACCAATCACCTGATTATCTCTATCTCTGAAAAGCAGGGGCCAGTTCTGACAAGTTCTGGGGAAGTGTCAAGATTATGGCAATGAGAACAGTTGGCTAGCCTGGTTCTACAATGTCTCCATTTTAGTTTGCACAAACCATGGCTTTCTCCATTCTGTGGACTTTCAGGAGAACAGGGTGGGAAACGGACAAATCAGTTATGTCTCCCACCACCACCACCCCTGCCCCGTGCAGCTTATACCTGTTGCACTCACCTTCTGAAGCCCTGAGGCTGGAGGTAGAGTGGGTTGAATCGGTAGATGCCATTGGAGAGGTTTGTATAGTGTCTGCTGTCTGTGTTGCCAATACAAGTACCTAGAAAGGGAAGATGAAGAGGAATGGAAATTTATGTGAGCAACCAAGCCAAGGAAGTGGCCAGAGGTGGGATAGCTGGAAAATCAGGACACCTGGGTATTTCAGAGCAATGCCTGGTCCTTTGGGCGTCTGTGGCTATGAAGTTTTGTCCTCCGGACTATCTATTTTGAAAACCTTAAACACCAGGAACATGGATTGCCCTCTCAAGGGCATCAGTGAGACATCCATGATGACCAGGGTGGTTATCTTCATTTCATACCCATAGCCATGGACATTTGGTATTTTAGAAACCAGAAGATTAGATATCACTTTTTAAAAAAATATATAGTTTATTTTATTTTATTTGTTATTGTTGCCGTTGAGGATATATACAGCAGAACATACACTAATCAACCATTTTTACATGGACAGTTCAGTGACATTGATTCCAGTGTTCAACTGAGTTCAGTAACAAGCTATGGTAAGTGTAAGTGAGGTAACTGTCACTGTGACATGGGTCAACACACTCGTAACTAGTTGAAGTAGGTCTAACTAAGGTCCTTTGTGAGTATGAAAAGCGTCACCATGTTCCGAGCTATGGACACTCTCTCAAATCACTGTCACTCTTACCAGCATCACCAAAACTTAAACCAGCTAAGGTATGTGAACCAAAATGCACTAACACTGGGAACAGCATCGCCATCACTTTAACAAATGTAAATGTAGCTGAGGTCACTTACAGTGTGGCTAGTGTCACCACAAGTGCCACAGTCTTCAAGTTGTGCAATCATCCTCACCCTCCTTTTTCTGAGTTGTTCTTCCCCCATTAAAATAAACTCACTGCCCTCTAAGCTTCCTACCTATTCTTTTGAATTGCTGTTAATTTGATCCCATATAGATAGTTTTTAAAAGAGCTTAATACTTACGGCAGAAATTCTTTACTCATTAAGGCAAAGTATTGTTTGATTTTAAGAAGTAGATGTTGTTGTTGTTATGTGCCATCGAGTCAGACCTGACTCATAGCGACCCTCCTTGGGTTTCTGAGGCAGTGTCACTACAGAAGTAGATTGCCCAGTCTTCCTTCCGAGGAGTGGCTAGTGGGTTTGAACCACCAGCCTTTGGTTAGCAGTCAAGTGCCTTAGGCGCTAGGTCAGAGTAAATATCCTTTGGGAGAGCTTTGTTTGCTGTTGTGTGCCCTTCAGTTGATTCTGGCTCATAGCAACTCTATAGATAACTCTATAGGACAGAATAGAACTATCTCATAGGGTTTCCTAGCCTGCAGTCTTTATAAGAGCAGACTGCCAAGTCTTTTCTCCCACGAAGCAACTGGTTAAACAAGTGCTTAACCACTGCACCACCAGAGCTCTTTGGGGGAACTTCACTGCTGTAAAATGCAATCCTCTTGAAGTAGAACATAATTCCCCATTACGCTTCCTTTGAAGGATGACTTTATCTTCCTAGAGTTTAACCTTAGGTTTGGAAAACCCCAAGACACTTTTTCTAGTTATCTGCTGTTGAAGGTGGTAGCTAGTGACCCCACCCCCAGCTGAGGTTGGGACTTGTCCAGCATTCTTGGAGCATCAAGTGTGATGGGATGCTTTGAGATGGAAATTTGTGTTTTGATTTATTTCCCTCTGTTGGTTTCAAATAGGTAGGCAGACCCTTCACAATGATTTGCTTTGGAGGATTTCTGCCAGTTGATTTTTGCTTAACTTTTTTTCTGTGAAAATCTAACCTTGCTGGCAGAATTACGGCAAGTGTTTCAGAAGGGAAAGGGTAGGGTAGAGACCCCTTAGGGGCCAAGAAATGAGAATTTGCAGACAGTGAGGAGTATGGTTCTTGGATGGTGGGGACTCAGGCTCTGCTCTGTAGCTGCACACTGAAGCGGTGGCAAAACCTCAGAAGGTATGTGACTCTGGTCTAGAGTCAAAGATCCTACTTCTCAGAACAGGGAATCAGAGAACCTCTAATCTGAAATGGTCTGTGGCTGGGACATGGATACCTCAGAGGTAACCACAAGGACCAACGACCACTGGCTAAGGGATTCTGATGCTGTGTTGCTGCAAAAGACCCTGAAGACTTAATTCAAAGTGTGCTTGGATCTCAAAGATGTCTGAGACTGAATTTCCTAAGGAGTGGGGGCTTACAGTCAGATTTAAGTTGATTAAAAAAAAAATAAACTACTTTTGCACATCTGAATTTGTGGATGAAAATTTTCACAGTAAGTTCCTTAAGGGCCCACACCTAGCACACAGAACAAGTCCTAAATGTGAGCTCAGCAAATGTTTGGAGAAATACATAATTGAACTTAGATTAAAGACAGGGGGGCTTAATATTAGAGAACTCTTCCTCACATTATAGATCAGAGATCCTCGAGTTGTGGTCAACCATTATTTGTCTAAGAATCCCCTGAATATTTGTTAAAAAAAGCATATTCCAGGGACCCATCCCAGATTTGGTTAACTAGAATCTTTGGGGATGGGTCAAGGAGATCTGGGACGTAGTAGGTTCCCTAGGTAATCTGTTTCCACTCTTTCACTTGAGAACAACTGTCTACAACACACGGATTTGAATGGTACACTAGAAGACTGGAGAAAAAGCTTAGAAGCTGAGCTGTTGCCACTGGTCTTGATTGGGAGTGGTTGATGGATTAATGCAAATTTTATGGGACTTGAGGCTTTTCTGGGTGGAGAATTCTGAATCCTGCTGCTGAGCTGTATTCTAGGATGGATTAGAACCAAAATCTGAAGAGAATTTGGTTCCCTCTTGACTGCTAACCAGAAGGCTGGCGGTTCAAACCCACCAGCCACTCCTCGGAAGGAAGGTTGGGCAATCCTACTTCCGTAGTGATACTGCCTC